TTCGCCCTGGACACCCGGGATCCCAGAGTCCCAATTATATTTGTAGTATCATGGGCCCCAAAATACCCTTTTTCCAGCAAAGCTTTGGTTCAGCTTGGACCAAATCTCCTACCATGGATCCCCATGTAGCGCTCCGCTTCAGTTGGCCTTTCGGTCTACAGGTGGCGCCGAGTGAAGTTCACCACAAGCATGCGTGGCCTAGGCTTTTCTGACCATGTTCCGTAAGCGAGGTTTAAACCCTAAACCCTAAACCCTAAACCTAGAAAACCGCCTTCACGAAGGCAGCCTTGCTTCTGGTAGGAGCTCACGGCTTATGCAGACAGATCCATGATCCCTCAGCGCGCGAGCAATTCACTTTTTCCACTCTAAACACAGGTCGTGACATAAAAGCTCCTTGCAGTTTCTGACATACGGCATGTACACGGTGGTGTATGTCTGTTGCAACTGCGAGCATGTCTGGTGGCACAAGAGCACATCTTTCGCAGCCGCTCTTAGCCAAAAGGGGCAGCGAAGCGAATCGTGAGGTCACCTGGCACAGGAAGAGTGTCATATTCTGCACTCCTCCTCTGACCCTTCGCTAGGAGAGGTCAGCTCATCTTTGCTTCCACATTGCAATTAGAGCAGACACTCTTGATTTGTCATTCAACTCATGATAGCGAAGCATGTGACGTCCACTCATATCCTTCGCTCTCCACAGCCAAAGAACGTACTTCAGCTGCTTGACTGTGGGTCCCGCTGGCTGTGCCACTAGTTCACAAAGTCGCCCACCTAATCTGCGGGCGCGATCCTCTTTAAGCCCCGACAACTGTAGCCCTTCTGAAAGAAGACCCTCTCTAAGGTTTTCACACGTCATCAGCGAGCATGCATCTTGACAAACTCGCATGGTCTCCTGCTCATCAATCGCACCTCCTGAGCTTTGCGGTGACCACATAGCCGGCGTACTCATAGCAAAGTGCTCGGGGGACTTGGTGTTCTCGGAATTGATCTCCTTACGGGTGTAGTTGATCTTCGTCTTGCTTCACTTTCGACTGACTGCTCTTCTTGTCGCCTGGAAACTCGGATCGATCTCTGAGCAGACTCCCCTTGTCCACTGGACATAGCAGCCGATCTCGGCCCACCATCTGCAGCCTCTCTTTGGCTATACGACACCGTAGAAGACCTCGATCTTGGCACTTGTGAACTTCGGCTGTCTTCGATAGGAGAAGCTCCCGGTCGCATACTCGATTCCTGGAGCCTTTCTAGCTCACGCTCAATGGCAGCTGTAGTTGCCGCCTGGAGCTTTTGTAGCTTTCGTAAGCGTCGCGCTCCTGCACCTGGAATCCACTCATAGCAGACCTCTGTGATTGACCATTTAGCCACCTCATAGATCAATAGGACGCCCAGCACCATTAGCAGGATCATGAACAAGCTTGCCATATCGCCATCAACCTGTAGGCCAGGTACATGACCCCGCTGATCTCCTCCCGTTGCCTGTACAGACACCATCAGCAAACAACAGACTGCTGCCAGCAAAGATCGCGCCGACACCTTCATAGCGGTAGTAGGATGCTTCGCCGTAGCTTTCCGCTCCCCTATGTCGAGGATGGCCTCTGTACTCTTCACTGCGACCGCTCCGTCTAGCAGGGCTAAGAGCTCTGCCTCCGCCGTACTCAGCGTAATCATGCTTTGCCGTCCACTCCTCCATGATATTGGCACACCGCCAAACATCACCACCCAGCCTCCATGAGAACGGGATGCTTGCGGTGCAAACGACGCATCGCAGTACATAAGAAGGCCGACCTCTTGCCAACTCACAACCAGACCATATCCACTAGTGCGCTGCAAATAACCGAGGACCTTCCTTCCAATGCTCAAAGTTTGGGACGGACATCTCGTGCATAACGTTGCCATTAAACATGTTGCGTACGACAGATCTGGCCGGGTACGCTGAGCCACCCAGAGCACTTCTCCAATGATTTGTTGTGCCGCCCGGACTAAATCCGGATCTGCAGGCTCTGTGGCTTCCGGAACATACGAAAGCTCCTTAGTGATTGGGATCTTGTCAAGGTGCGTAGGCTTCACATCATGGATGCGCATGAGCTCCTGCAGGTATCCCTGCTGAAACACCAGGATCTCCTTGGCATTCTCAGTCTCCCGCTGTAGCTGTAGCTCCATCCCAAGGAACCTTATAGGGTTATCTGGTCCCAAGAAGGATAACTCTGACGTCTCCCACACACGCTGTACTGCACTGCTCCTCTACAATCTCCTTTGGCCCACATATCATGAAATCGTCCACATACACGACCACCAAAGCTGTGACATGTCCAAGACCATCTAAGATAGACCACCATGATGTGATAGCCTTCCCTTGTTTCCAGAGCAGTCCATGAGGCGTTTTCAACGTCCGTAAAGTATCATCACGAAAGTTTCCCCACAACAGTGGAGCTTCTCGTAAGCCGTAGAGGGCGCGGAGTAATCCCCACAGCTCCATTTTTACTGAAACACCGAGGCTTTCCAAAAGTCTGGGCGGTTGTGCGACCACCACTGGATCTGAAGCCGATCTCCCCAGCGGTGTCTTCACAAACGCTGCCACCACGTCCAAGATGGCAATGTGCCACTGATTTCTGCTGGACACAGCAAGGCCTGCGCGCACAGCCTCCGCTGGTGCTGTTTCGGCATAGACCTGTGCCCCGTCGCTCACTGCGAAGTTCCCACAAATGACCAGCCTGGATTTTCTCTTGTACCAAGTTTTCTCGTCCTCCAAGATCGCCTTGTCGTTGGGCTTGACCGTGAACACAAACTTCATCGGGAGTCTCTGAACTCCTGGAGTGCTGAGCCATCTCCTCCTGGCTTCTGTGCCAGGAGGAAGCTTCTCGATTGCGCTCTCAATACCCGCAAGCTCCTTCATGATGGAGGGTCTCCACATTTCCAAATTGGCCATCACTTCATCGGGACTCACGGCATGTGTAACATCAAGTGGCCCCTTCAACTGCTCCAAGACTTCCTCGATGTTTGGGGTATAGCTCACCTCCGTCTTGTAGAGTCTGGGTGTAAGCTCCCTGTCCATTGCGGCGTCATCGATCTTCACCACTCCATTGCTAAGATCCAAAAACAGCGACCAGTCTGACTGCTGTCTTTCATGTGAAGCATCTTGCAATATTGTCAAAGGAGACACTCGGACCTGATCGTCATGAGGTAAATCGCCATTGTACTCGGGAAGCTGCGAAAGGGGTACAGGAAACCCATGGTCATGTAGTGCTTCCAAATCGCTTTGTCCCAGCTTCCCCAAGCAGTTGGGAGTATACCCAATGATCACCGCTCGTCTACCCTTCCAGGGTGATGTCTCATGGTATCTCTGTGGGCCGAACTTGATGCTTTCTCCAGGGGCTAGTGGTAACATTTGTCCATAGAAAAGCTGCTTCCCATTGCCACGCTGCTCTATTTCTCCTTGTACCGTATCCCCAGGTTTAAGCTCAACCCATAGCTCTCCTCCTTGCTCTGGACACCGAACAGGAACTACGACATTCTTCGTGGCATAGTCGTTGTTGAAGTCCTTGTGCATTACCTTTGGCGTATTGTGGGACACCATCACTGATGTAAAGGTCGCCTCAGGATCGATTTCCTGTACAATCCGCGTCAGAACCTTTGTGAGATCTGGGAAATCCTCAACTCCTGACAGCCACCCAACTGCTCCACCATGACGATACACTCCAAACTTTCTGTCCGCAAAGAACTCTTTTTCAGCCAAAGCGTCGACTAGCCGTAGTGCTTGCTCCAAGGACCACTCATCCAGGACCTCCCTCGCTGCAGTGGTCCCGAGCTCCTTGATGTCCTCTGTAAGCTTCCGAACCACTCGCATCTCAACATCCTTAGACTCGGTCTTCTGCGGAACTCTCCTCCTCGGCTTGGGTAGAGTGTCAACTCGAAGATCACCTCCAGGTAGTCCAGGATCAACTAGGTTCGGTCGAACGTGCATCGTATGCAGAAACCTCTCTTTTTCTTCGCCTTCTGGTGGAATGTAGACCACATGCCCGTGGTGAACTATAGAGCTAAGTCCAACATACTTTCCCACCAGCCAGCGACTTTCTAAACCCATCTCTCGCTTTAGTGGTCCAGCCTTGTCAAACGCCTTTTTTCTCAAATGCACAGGTGCTCCATAGGGGGCAGCCAAGCATGACTTCCATCCGAGTACCTTGGCTCGTTGCTCTGCTGCGGCTGTTGCCGCCGCTGTTGGCCACAATCGTAATGGAAGGCCTGACGCCCTCAAAAGCGTTCTGGTACGATCTTTGATCCATCTCACCGTTGATTCCGCCTGTCCATTACCTTGTGGTACTCCGGGTTCCGACCATGTACCGTCAATACCTTGATCTCGTAGCCAGTTTCTAAAACCATGATTGTAGAACTCACCCTTGTCAGCATGAAAGCGATAAATAGGAAACACATGGCTTTGAAGGTAGAGCACCATGTCCTGAATCCCACGCTTGACTGTGCCGGACTGATTGTTTGATAGCGCGATGGCAAACGTCAGGAACGTCATCTCTGGTGGTTTACAGTCGCCACCCTGCATAACCACATCTGGAGTACTTGCTGGTTCCCCCTGGGCATGCTCCTCCTCATCAGGTTCCTCTCCACCTGATGTTTCCGAAGGCTCATACTCAACCTCGTCCCCGTCAGCAACCCAATCATCATGCTCACCATTGACACACCCAACAACTTCTACTTGCGGTATTTCAAGCTGTATTGCGTCCTTGGCCTCCTGGTCACCGAACAACTCGTCCATGTCACGCTGTTGCTCCTCAGTAAGGGGTAGAGGCTCTGGACTATGATCACCGGAACTCTCGGGAGGTATGGACTTGCCTGAGTACTCCTCAATGAACAGCTTGGGCACCAAGTACTTTCCAATAAGCAAATAGCGAAGGTTCTTGCCTAAAGTGCCCTTTGAAGTAGCATCCAGCCCTGGCTTCAGCGGTCCAGCCACATCTGCTGTCAGGACGTACACCTCCGGATGATGGATGCGCCGATGCTGACGACCTACACCCCTTGACATAACGCAGGTAGCACAATCCTTTCGATATACAGCATGATTTGTATTCACATGATCCTTCCATTGCTCAGCTGTCATTGCGCACAAGCGAGGGACACATCGAGGTTCGCGATCCCAGAAACTCAAGGCAACTGTAATCGCCCTGACCAATCCCGGGGACCAAACGTAATCTTGACCTCCTCGTAGTGGAACAGGATCATCTTCAGGTAGTCGAGCCTCATCCAGCGCTGTCAACGAGTGCACGTTGGTTCCCAAGGTCGTTCGGTTTCTAGTAGCTCCTCCCATTGCGCCTTGATCAAACGAAACCATTCTCATCTCGAGCTCACGCTGGAAGCCCTTCCACATCCTGGTGTCCCAAAAAGCAACATCTCCTCTGACTGTACTCAGTCCCACTTGATCATCCCAGCGAGGCCTTTGAACTTGTTCCCAGTAACGACGGGTCTCCTCCCAAGTCGCCGCTGGACCTCGTCTTCGTCCCGGTACCCTGAAGGCGTCTTCAGCCTCCTGAATTTGTCGCTCACGAGCTCGACGCTGATCAGCCGGATATCCTTCAGGATACTCCATTACGAAGGCAACATCCCTGTTCGCATTGATGCCGCTTGCGTTGAGCTCACGACCCACCTGTGCGACAGCATAAAGCCACATCATTCTGGCGATCAACTTCAGCGACTTCGGGTCCCGATCTCCTCCTCGGCAATGCTGGAGTGCACGTCCAGGAGGACCACCCATCACAACATCAACCTTACCATGCTTCGCTCCCCACAACAGCATTCGCCACGTTTCATCCCGCAAGATATCGTGACCACTGCATCGGGCAACATCCAGCTCAACCACCGAAGTGTCACCTTGGTCCAATTGCATCACCTGCCAATGACCTTCTGCACCGGCAAACAGATGGACCACCCATCTCTTGCTGTTCATCAGAGGAAACCATTGAGCTTGAAGATGTCCCAACCATTCTCCAGTCCAGCTCCTGGAATGAGCCCTGAGATACACTCTCCCGGCAAATCCTCAAAGAAAGGTGCATCTCGAACTGCTCGTAGACCGGACTCAAAGGACCCCTTCGCCACGTAGTCGTAGAGATAGTGGTTCCAATGGAGCTCCATAGCTACTGCTGACAAGCTGACTTTGTCCTTGGTCGTCAACGTCTCATTCCGGAGCTGCTCCAACTTACGGTCCTCGATCCTTGCAATCAACGACAAAGCCTCCATCTCACACATCTGAGGACACCCGCCATCGACCTGCAAGGGAATTCGTCGACCTTCCGGGGATTGTAGCACGCACTCCTCTGGACTCCACACCATTGTGTAACCGAGAGTCTCAATCAGCTTGCCCATGGGTACAATTGTTTGAGCCTGGATAGGCGGACACTCCCCTGACTCACGATCTCCTTGACGTGGCATAAGCAAAGTTCCTGTTGCTGTGATCCGCATAGTGAGCCGATGGTTCCCTGCCAACTGCACCATCACCTCTTCTGCCTCCGTCCACTCGCGATTAGAGACCGCTGATCTGAGGCTATGCGTGGCCCCACTGTCCAGAAGAGCTGTGGCTCCTGCATCTGCGGAGCACACTCGTATGTCCATCAACCGCAAGGTCTTAATCTGCGGCCGTGTTTTCTCTGGAGAGCTGTCCGTGTGCGACTCAGCATTTTGTGACTGCACCACTTGTTGAGCTGCTTGCATAAGAGCCTCTAAGGTCCAGGGCGTTCCTTGGACCACGTCTCCTGGTGTAGAACTTGTAGTGGAGGTTGTTCCCAGGGATGCCATCGTACTCTGTGTAGACGTAGGTTCCCGACTTCCCTTTCCATACTTCGGAGTATTGCCTCCACTCGAGCCGTTCGCTCCTTTGGGGTTGGGTTTTCCAACTACGCAGTCTCGTTGACGATGCGACTCTGAGCCACACTTGAGACACTTCTTGGCTCGCTGCTCTTTATCAAGTCCAGCCATTGAGTGCGAAAACGTGCATCGCTCACCACGTCGACAGCCTGAGGCCTTAGCGAAGTACCTGCACATCTCTGCACTTGCCCTATTGGCATCACGCGCCTTTGGCTGTAGCACTGCATCCACCGCCTTCAGCTTCGGAACGACATTGGCTCCCGAAGCTGTGCTTGACACCATTGTCTCCAGCTCTGCCTGAAGGTGCCGCTGGTATCCCCTCACATTTTCCAAGGTTGGCTGTCCATCCAGGCGTAGTGTGGTCCTCAGCATTGCAGTTCTGAAAGCTGCATCACTTGACTGTAGAATGTACTTATCTGTCAGGAGCATCAGTCCCTTGGCCAAAACAGACGCATCCGGAGGATTCATATTCACTGCTTGGCATCTGGACAGAAGGCGAGGCCAAGAACGAACCATCTTTAGTACCTCCTCTAAGGTGTCCTGCTGTAGATGATCGCTTGGAGCTTGAAGGCGACGAAGTACCTCAGATCGTTCTGCTGAGCCACCCGGCTGGTACAGGGTGTGAAGCCGATAGACCATTCGTACAGTGCTTTGGGAAATACGCTGCGCCACCATTTCTGCCCTCATCTCTGGCCCCATCGCTGTGAGCAGCATTGAGGCCACCCGTGCGTTCAGCCGTGACCACTTTGCATCCATCAGATCCTCTGCCCCATCGGGGTTGATACCCAGACGCTCTAGCGGCGTTGCTTTTAGCCATGCCTCATACGTCTTAGTGACAATCTCCATCACTGACCTCCACCACCATCCACTCAACTCACTCACATCTGACAACACGGATGCTGCCACCTCTAGCCAGTCCTGGAACTCCAATGCAGCATCGCAGCCACCTGTCAACGTGGGAAGCGATGCTAGTGCAGATGTTCCTGGCTTCACTAGCTCTGACGATGTAGATGAAGTAGAGCCTCTAGTAAGAGCTTGCGCTTGTAGCTCCTGTAGCTGCTGCATTCCTTTCGTAAGAACATCTAGGGTTGGGGATCCCGCTGCTGATCCCGAAGCTGTAGCCTTCGGTGGTGGTGTCTGACTCCTCGGGCGTGAGCTCCACCATGACCTCAGCAAACCTGGAGCCCCATCTGCAGCTGTAGCTTGTGCCTCTGCAGTCCGTCGGTTCGTAAACCCACTGTAGCTGCAGCCTGTGGATTCCCCTCCAGGTACTTTAGGACTTCCTTCAACCCAAGAATCTAGAGGTACCTCCCGACCTTGTCGAAGCCCCCCACCATCACCATGATGTAGCTCCTGTCGCGCTGGTAGAGAAGGTGGTAGCTGTTGTGCTGGAGGTTCTTCTGGGGGTACAGTATGACCTAACTCTCGTCTGGATTCTCTTGGTACGTTAGGACCTACAGCATCTTGCAAAGGATCACCCGGAAGTACTCCAGGATCTGAGGGAGTCAACGCCAAGCTCCCCAGTAAACCTCCGGCAGCTTGGACTCCAGCTCCATTGAGCTGCTCGGCTCTCTGTGCTTCCCTCAGTTGTGCCTGGGCCTCAGTTAACTGGGTCTGTAGCTGCTCATTCCTCAGGCCGTACTCCCTCAGCTGAGACAAGACGCCATGAAGTTGTCTTTGCACCTCTGCTTGTATTGCCTCTGCCGAAATACTTGAGGACGACGGTGGAGGCGTCGGCGCTGCAGATATAGGCCTCGCCCGACTTGGCGACCTCAGGCGAAACGCTGGACCACCTGGTGGTGAAGCATACATCGGACTTCCACCCGGAAACGGACTAGGAGCCAAATCCGCTGCTGCGCCATTGTTGAGGAGATTCCCCAGTCTCATCATCCATCTCGGAACTTCCAAGCCTCCCATCCAGGCTTGGGAAACAACACTCCTTTGCCCACTTCCAGACACAGGAGTCGTGAATCCTCCCGACGCATCATCAGTCCTATTGTCCACAGCTCTTTGCTCCAGATCTGATCTTCCGCCTGGCTCTGCGATCGTCGAAGCTGCCTTGGGCTTCGCCTGTCCCACTCCAGTTGCAGTCTCAGAACTCCGAAACGGCTGTACAGACTCTATATTCTGCACACCAACATGCGCCACCACTCCAGGTCCCACATCTTGCTGCTGCACCGACTGCGCCTGGGAGGTCATCTGAACATCTGGTACGACGGCTTCCACAACAGCCGCCGACGTTGAAGGAGCCGGATCATCATTACCCGGCACCCCATTAGCCAGCTCCGCAGTGGTTCTTTGGGCGCTCATAACCTAGAAAACCGCCTTCACGAAGGCAGCCTTGCTTCTGGTAGGAGCTCACGGCTTATGCAGACAGATCCATGATCCCTCAGCGCGCGAGCAATTCACTTTTTCCACTCTAAACACAGGTCGTGACATAAAAGCTCCTTGCAGTTTCTGACATACGGCATGTACACGGTGGTGTATGTCTGTTGCAACTGCGAGCATGTCTGGTGGCACAAGAGCACATCTTTCGCAGCCGCTCTTAGCCAAAAGGGGCAGCGAAGCGAATCATGAGGTCACCTGGCACAGGAAGAGTGTCATATTCTGCAAAACCCTAAACCCTAAACCCTAAACCCTAAACCCTAAACCCTAAACCCTAAACTCTAAACCCAAGGTTTAAAACAGGATCTGTAGACCCTCCGCTACATTCCGGACCCCAGTTCAACCCTGGGACCCTAAACTCTAGCAGAGATATAGATCCCCGCATAGAGCCTTTATCGAACCCATTTATTCATACTGTTGATGGACAAAATTCTGCATGACCCAAGTATAGTATAGTACCATAATTCCCATAGTTTATGTATACAGGGTCATGCAGGATTTTGTCCATCAACAGTAGGAGCTCCTTAAATGAACCTCCCAAGACCAGGAGACTGCCGTTCGGCGCAAGAAGACGGACGAGATCATCCAGGCGTTGATGGCAGTGGGAAGCCGGCGGTTTAGGGTTTAGGGTCGAGGGGTTTGGGCTCAGATTTTCGCGTGAAAATTTGGGGGGCAGAACGAGAAGACATCTCATTCCTGTAAAGTTCGATTCTGAACACGGTTCTACTTATGAAGGAGGCCATGCTGCCTGCTGGTTTTCGAGGTCTTGGTACGGATTTGATGAGCCCCGGAAGGCACAGCGAACGATCTTGGGTCCTAGACAGGGATTTACGGTTTTAGGGTTTAGGGTCAGGGTTACGAGTTTCGGGGTTTGCAAGCTTTGCGAGTTTTGATGACTTCGGAGCCTTTTGTTCATGTTTAGTATCAAAGGAGAGACTGCGCAATTATATAGCATCTTCGTGGCTGGACTAGCCTAGCCTTACGGCATGACAGTTACCATCCCCTCATAAAGAAGCCACAGCACAGCAAATAATCCCCGCCGGATCTCTAATGCTTTCGTTGAATATGTATACTATACAGGAGCCCCCCAAAAGCCCTATTCTAAGTCTTAACGTCCCTACAGTAAGCCCTTAAACACCACCTAAACCCTAAAACCTATACCCTAAACCCTAAACCCTATAAACCCTAAACCCTGTACACCCTAAACCCTAAACCCCAAGAAGCCCGAAACCCTCAACCCGAACCCTTTAAACCCTAAACCCTAAGCCCCATAAGCCCGAAACCCTAAACCCGAACCCTATAAACCCTAACCCTAGACCCTAAACCCTAAAAAGAAACTTAAACTGGAGGTCCAAGGTTTGGAGTGGTTGAACCCTAAGCCCCAGACTCTGAGTTTTAAGCCCTGAACTCTTCAGCCATTCGGTTGAACCCTACATATAGTGGAAACCCAATAGCCTCAATCCGTAACAGTGTATAGGGAATCCCAGCACTAGTTGTCCTTAATCCGGTTTCCAACTTTTTGGGGTTTGCCATAAATTGCTTTACACGCCGCCTTCCTGGCTCTGTGATCAAGATTTGAGTTGATGTTGTTGGTTTCTGACGGGCTTCATTTTGTCAAGCTCATTCTCGTGGCGTTTTGCCTTGTAAAGAGATGCCCATGGTCTACGTAGTGCAGCGGGTGTTCCTGTCAAGAGAGGTTTTGAATTGCACGGCCCCCGTGCCGCTTGTCGCGAGCGAGAAAGCGGGCTGTACAAGGCCCCATCATGGCTGGCATAAGCGTCGATTCGGCGGACGGAATGCTCCCTGGCACCAAGTCACTCTAGAGCCTAACCCCCCCACCTCAAATCCTTGATGCAAACCGTACTAGACACAGAAATCATGCTGCCCGAACTCTGCATGCGGTACTTCAGGATCGGAGAAAGAGGGTGGAGGCTAGCAAGTAGGATAGGCACGCTTGCCCGGGCTTACGGGGTGTGTAACCCTGCCCACAGTTCCTCCAAGTGAACATCTCGACAAGCCCAATGAAGACTAATTCCCTTGACATGGTTCTCAATACTTCAGGTGTGCGGAGTCAAAGTCCTAGACCCTAAACCTTCCTGGTCTTGACAAGTGGCCGAGGTTCTTTGATATCATGGCAAGCTTCGTTGCTGTGCTGCTGATGGTTTACGTGGTTGCCTTTCGGTGGCAATGAGGAATTGCATGCCGCCCTCTAGGGTGTCGCGATGATTTTGTTGGGGACGGCGAGGTGTGCTGACAAGTTTGCTGAAACAGGATCGGGAAGTTCGGGTTGCGGGTTGCGCCACTAGTTCAACAGTAACAGAACCATCACCTTTCTGAAGCTTCTTTGCTTGGGGTTATTGCTTTGCAGACGGACTGGAGGCTAAATTCCAGAAATTCTTGAACCCTTATCTACCACCTTTGGACGGCTTGGTTCACAAAGTTCTCTAGAAACAACTTGCGATGTTTATCAAACCATGCCGCCTCGCAACAACGGCATTTCCAGGTCTTCGTCCTACTGATGCGGAGGAGGGGGCATGGTGTTGGCCTTGGGGTTTGTTGTTTTAGGCCCTTGCGGGTTTATACGGATTGGAATTAGGGTTTAGTTTGATTCTACGCAGACTGTAGACCGGAAGCCCTACTCCGATCCCGTTGCGCATGGCACATGTCACAGATCCTCCTTCTGAGGCTTCAAGGTTAGGGCTCTCAGGGCTCAGCCCTAAATTATGATGAACATATCAGAGGAAAAGGTTCAGGATATGATTCAAGTTAGGGTCTATATGAGGGAATTTGGTGAGTGTTTTTTGTGAGTGCAAACTTGTTTTTGGTAGCACGCCTTACTGCGCGGGTGGTGTTTCCGGGTGAAGAGGGTGCACGGGTGTCAGGCATGGTTGTGACAAGGGTTTGGGGTTTTCGTTGGAGTCTTCGATTTCATGGGTTTGTGAAGCCGTCCAGTGCAAATCGAAGTGCTGGGACCCATGCATGCTGCTCCGACTACGTACTTGTCTATTCCTATGACCGTTACCTCTGCTATGGTCAGTGTTGTGGTGACCTTGGTTTCTGCTCTTCTTCTACTTTGCTTCTGCTACCGTTGTTGTTCTTGTGGTGGTGGTGGCCGTCGCAGTCGGGGTTGCCAGTGGCCTTGAAGAACTACCGCGATGGTTTCCCTGAAGGGTTTCCATCTTTCCGTTCAGTTCCTTGAGCCCATAAACCCTGAACCCTAAACCCTAAACTCCATTTTTTGGGGCTTAGGGTTTGCGTGTCAGGCTATCAGGTTTAAGGGGACGGGTTGGTGTGGTTTTCATCTCGAGCCTGAAGCCTGGACCGTACAAAGTCACCACGGTTTAGGGTTTAGGGTTTAGGGTTCACCTACTTAACGGATCACGGGACTTTAGTAACTAAGGTTATTATTAGGGTAACTGTACTTTATACTTATAACCCCAATGAAGGTACGTATAGCCATACCTCCTAGCTCCCATGATCCTCCAAGTAAGAGCTCCTCCCTGACAGAATCGTGTCACTGTGGATGGAGAAAGACCCCGACAGACCTTGTGCTTTTGTGCTGGAGGCAACTTGGCTCCTAAAAGCGTATAGGGCCTAGGGCTCGCAACTGCCTGCAAGAGTTTCAGACATGGGTTTCAGGGTCACGGCCCTAGAAGATTTTTTTGGCAAGTATAGAGGTCTGAGGAATTAGTTATCATGTCCCCTTAGGGTCTTATGTATCGGCTGTAGTAACTAAACCAGGGCTTGGGTGGTGGTATATTGTTGTCTTCAGTGCAACACGGTCTTATTCCTGAGCCTGACTTTGGTTGCGGGGAAGTGCCGAGTAACGCAAAGCCCGTTGAAATGTGATTCGTAATGTAAAGCCCGCGACAACCTGAAAAGAAAGGCGGCCTGTTTTTGTCTCGGCTTTATCGAAGTGGCAAAACCCTAAACCCTAAACCCCAACCCTAAACCCAAAATCCTAAACCCAAAATCCTAAACCCAAAACCCTAAACCCCAAACCCTAAATCCCAAACCATACTAAACTCTAAACCCTAAACCCTAAGCCACTACACATGAACAACGCCTTCAACCCAAACCCTAAACCCCAAACCCTACTAAACCCTAAACCCCAAACTCTAAACCCCAAGCTCTACTAAACCCTGAACCCTAAACCCTAAGCCCCAAACCGTACTAAACCCAAACCCTAGCCCTAAACTCTGCATTGCGGACGCGATGGGCGACTGCGTTCCGAGTACTCGCGCATACGCTCCAGTACGCTCGAGTACGCTCGAGTATGCTCGAGTACGCTCGAGTGCGCACATACCCGGGCATACTCGCGCATAGTCGCTCGTATACTCACGCATACTCGCGCTTATTCGCGCATACTGGCGCGTACTCGCGCATATGCGCATACTCGCGCGTACCCGCGCATATACTCGCGCATACCCGCGCATACTCACGCATACCCGTGCATACCCGAATAGGGTTTTGCGGGGTTCCTCTAAAGGAGTTACTATAAGGGTTCTGCAAGGGTTTAGTATAGGGGTCTTAATAACTGGAATAGGGTTTGGCGGGTTCCTTATTAGAGATATATAGAGTATACTATACCCCCAAACCTTATTCAATTGTTAAGGCCCCGATATTAAGCCCCAAGCCCGAAACCCTCGTTACATGTATGTACCTATCTCTGTAATAGAGATCTAGATCTATAGCTGTATTGCTTGTATTCATGTATCAATATCTATTGAAATGCTATCTATCCACTTGTATCTACGCGTCTTTCGATATCAGTATCTATATGTGTATCTACTTCTGCATCACGATCTCTATCTGTATCTCTATCGGTATCTCTATCTGTATCTATATTTATCTCAATATTTGTATCTGTATCCATACCTACATCTGTATCTACTTCTACACCTATACCTGTATCTGTATGTGTATATCTGTACCCATCTCTGTCTCGATCTCGATCTCTTTTGCTATCTTTATCTTTAACTCCATCTCCATCTATATCCCCATCTGTACCTCCATGTGTATATCTATCTCCATCCCTATCTCTATCTGTACCTCTACCTCTTTCGCTATGTCTATCTTCATGTCTATCCCTATCTCTATCTCCATGTCTATCTCTATCTCTATTTCCTCGTCTATCTCTCTTTCTATCTCTATCTCTATGTGTACCTCTGGCCCCACCTCTATCTCTATCTTCTATCTCCATCTCTATCTCTATCTCTATCTCTGTCTCTATCTCCATCTCTATCTCTATCTTTATCAGTGTCTGTCTCTATCTCTGTCTCTGTCTGTCTGCTTCTCTCTCTCTCTCTCACTGTCCTTATCCCTATATTTTAACCTGTATCTGTTTCTATACATCTATGTACCTATATAGATATAGATATATCAATATTAATATTCGTAACTGTAACTGTATCTATAGACTAGCTGTCGCCATAGCAATAGCGATATGCATGTGCATATCCATATCCGGTTCTATATCTATATCTATGCCCATATCTATATCCCTAAGGGTCCAAGCATCCAGTATTCAAGGACATTGGGGCCTTTTTGGGTACCTAGAACCATAAATAAGGACTACTTGGACCCTTAGGGTATCGCATTCTCATCTTTATCTATGTCTGTGTCCGAAGCCCGTGAAGCCCAAGACCCTGAACCACTCCTGCGGCTCAGATCTGTATCCTCCGAAAAACAGCAAACCCCTGCAATCCTGAAGCCCGAACCCCAAAACCCTAAACCCTAAACCCTAAACCCTAAACCCCAAACCCTCAACCCCATGGGGGTCGGATTAAGGGCTTCTGCTCACTGGAATTTAAAGTGCAGGCATGGAGGGTTTGGGGTTTAGAGTTGAGGGTCCCTGAACCCGAAACCCAACACCCAAAACCCCGCACCTAAGGACTACGTTGAGGACGTTTCCTCCGAGCAAGCTATCTGCAGCATCTGCTTGTGCAGCGACCGTGGCTCAAGCAGGAGTGTGATGATGGGTTTAGGGTTTAGGGATTGGGGGGGTAGGGTTAGGGTTGAGGAGAAGGTTTCAGTAAGGTTCTACACCCCTAATCTCTTCAAAGTTCGGCTTCAATTTCTGTGGAGACGGCACGTCAGGGTTTGGTGGTTATGCCTGTAGGGTTCCAGGGTGTAAAATCGTCAGGGGTTTAGGATTTAGTGTTCGAGTGTCCAGGCTATAGGGGTTCTGGGATTGGGATTTCGGGTATTGTTTTGGCGGCAACGAACAGCCTGAGCCCAAGCGCTAAACCCTCAACCCTAAACCCGAAACCCCTAAACCCTAAACCCGACCATAGAATCCAAAGCCGTCAGTAATTAAGCAATCACAGCCAAGAGCGGTTCCTACAGTCGGTTCTGGGGTTCTGAAGTCCAGGTCTTATCAGTGTCGGTTCGGATTTAGAGTTTTAGGGTTTAGGTTTTGGGGTTAAGGGTTTAGGTTTTGGATTGAGAGTGTACTTGGAGGATCATGGGACTCAGCAAGTATGGTTATAAGTACTCTAGTTGGGGTTGTAAGTAGTTATAAATATAACTAGAGTTACCCTAATAATAACCTTAGTTACTAAGTCTCATGATCCTTTAAGTAGGGTTTAGGGTCCACAAGAATCAAATCGTGTCAAAGCTTCTTGAGCCTCGGCTATCATGCGAGCCATGATGATCCGAACGGTCTTAAACGCCAGATCCCAGGAAAAAATAAATCCCCCGCATGCCATAGGTCATCCGCATGCCAGGCCCTGAACCTCAAACAGCACAAGCCCAAGCCCAAACCCCAAACAGTTCAACCCCAACGCCTTGCAACCCCAACCCTAAACCCTAAACCCTAAACAAAGGAAGCCTGCGTCCTCTCCAGTGTTTTTTTACTTTCGATGCGGTTTTGGGATTATGGGTTTAGGCACGAGTAGGACCCCGAAGGGGTTCCTTTCAGGCTTCCTTTGAGGGCTATGACAAATTCTATAAGAAGAAGGGTTTAGGGTTGAGGGCTTAGTGTTTTGTCTTAGGAGATATTTGTGGGGCGATCCTCTCGCCTAAGCCTAAACCTTAAACCGGCAATAGACACGAGCATGCCAGACAGGACGAAGTTGCCTTGCGGGCACGTTTTCCACAAGGAGTGACAGCATCTGCTATTGCTAGGATTACGGGACTCAAGAAGTACTTATAGGAGCCTAAATAATTCCCAATACTTTGGGGCTTTCTTATTATAGTTATAGTATAATACTGTACCCCGAAACCCTATTCCAATTGTGAAGGCTTCTACATTAGGGTAAGCCAAAGCTCCGAGATCCTAAACCGTGATCCTAATGCATAACCCCTGTAGGAGAGCCTCTGCTTGGGGCGCTTGTCTCTCGTGTTAGCTACTGTGCGCTAAGTCTCCTGAGCGTCCGGGTGCTCTGAACGAGGATCATGTTGGAGATACCAGAATAGTTCATTCGGCTTAGGGCTTACCATTTAGGGTTTAGGATTACGGTTTGGAATTTTGGGCACAGTAGTAAGGTACTTGATTCAATTCCTTAAACCACGAGCAACTTAAGTAGTGGTTGGTTAGACTAACTGCTCCTGGAAGTAATATTGGAGCCTACAATATTGCTTATATTATTCCTGAGAGTTCCTGATTATAAGTATATATAATGGGCCCCCAAACCCAATTCTAATTATCGAGGCCCCTACATTAAACCTTTATAGAACCCTTATAGTAACCCTTATAGTAACCCCTTTAAAGGAACCCCCAAAACCCTAGGCTGATTATTTATTTAGGCCTCGACAGTACCCAAAGCAGAATTACAGGTCTCAGCCTAAGGCTTCTAAGCGTGGTGAAGGCGGCCGGTTTAGGGTTTAGGGTATAGGGTATAGGGTTTAGGGGTTTAGTGAAGGCGGCTGTAGGGTTGGAGGATCATGGGACTTAGTAAGTATGGGTATAAATACCTTATTTGGGGTTATAAGTATAGTTATCCTAACAATAACCTCAGTTACTAAGTCCCATGATCCTTTAAGTAGGGTTGGACTTTGGATAGGAATCCTTTGATTTGCGGTCTATGTTACGCCTTAGCTTCGGAAGATCACTAATCCTAAACCCTAAACTCCTAAACTCCTAAACCCTAAACCCTAAACTCCCAAACCCTAAACCCTAAACCACTATGGCTCCACGAACATGTGACTGCAAGCGGCCTTGAGGCTTTGGCGTTTGGGCGTCGGGTTCGGAAATTCGTAAACCCTAAACCCTCAGGGCGCATCACCTGTGGCTAAGAACCGCAAGAGCTTTTCAGGGGTCTTTAAAGACTTACTATAAGGATTTTGTAATATAGGGGGTTGGCAAGAATCGAAGCACTAAGAGTAAAATCGTAATGTTTTTCCATGCATGCATTCAGACATGCGTTCATTCATGCTCATGCTCATGCTCATCTGTTGTTCATCTTCATCTTCATCACCGTCATCACCTGGACACCATCTACGCGACAAGAACAACGTTCACCATCATTCCCAGCATGATGCATCACCCTTCACAATCATCATCGTCATAATCATCATTATCAGCATCGTTATCGTCACTGTCTTCTTCTTCATCATAATCGTCATCATCGTCGTCAGCACCACCGTCACCATCATCATCATTATGATCATCATCATCATCATCGTCATCATCAGGAACATCATCATCACCATCGTCATCGCCATCATCATCAACATCATCATTGGCATCATCAGCAACAGCATCAGCCGCATCATCGTATTCACCACCACCGTCACCATCATCATCATCATCATCATCATCATCATCATGAATATCATCGTGAACATCATCATCGTCATCATCATCACATCATCATCACATCATCATCAGCATCATCATTGCCATCATCATCAGATCATCATCATCATCACATCATCATCATCATCATCATCATCATCCACATCATCATTGCCATCATCATCATCAACAACATCATCATCAACATCATCATTGTCATCATTGTCATCATCAGCATCAGCATCAGCATCAACGGCATCATCGTCATCATCACCATCACCATCACCATCACCATCACCATCACCACCACCATCACCACCAGAAGTCCTGTAAGCCCTAGATCGTCAGTCCGCAGCGCCAAGCTGAAGTTCACACCAGAGTTGCTAAGCCTTCGACCTTGGTTTCTTAACTCTGACCCGCACTTGTCGCGATCCGAGCTTGCAGGAATGCTTAACACAGTGGTGGTATCTGGGCATGCGAAGCAGATCTTGACAGTTTTGGGCTTATGCTGTTGAATACCGAAAAGTTTGTAGATCCAGCTAAGTCATCACACATCAATCTCGTGCTCAGGGCTGCGTGGGTATGAGTTAGAGGTCGGAAATATGCACAGCAAGTAAAGCAGCTTGGCAGCAAACTCACACGTAGCAACATTAGGGACGAGGCGTGGATGTTGAACAATGACAGTGTTACTTGCAGCTTCGAGCCCTTCAGCTGTACTTAAATGTTAGATGATTCGGCCTTCAACACTGCTTAGGTGCTCAAGCCTCGCAAATTTACAGAGCATCCAATGTTCAGTGCCTTCAGGGATGGTTTGGATTCTGTAGCAAGTTTCTCGATCAATCCCAGGCCCTACCTAAAGGACCATGGGATGTAGTGACTAAGGTTATTATCAGGATAGCTATACTTAGGGTTTAGGGTTTAGTAACTAAGGTTATTTTTAGGATAGCTATAATATAACTACTTAGAACCCCAACTAGGGCACTTATGACCATACTCACTAAGTCCCATGATCCTCCAAGTAGACTCTCAGCCTTGACAACCTAAACCCAGCACCATGAAATCTTCCAACTCTGGGTAGTTGTGTAGGGTTTAGGGTTTAGGGTTTAGGGTCCGTAAGGAGTGCCCGACTATATTTTGGACTTAAACAGGGACCCTAATTTAGAGAACTACCCAAAGGTCCTAAACCCGCAACCCTAAACCCGAGACTCGAGACCCTAAGCCGCCGGCCCCCAGCCCTAAACCCTAAAACCCCCTAAAACCCCGCAAATCCTCAAAGTGCCCAGATCCTGAGCCTACGATGCCAGATCCCAGGGTTTTTATCTGTGCTGCATCATGTTATATCTGTGTTATATATCGCATATTATATGTTTCATCCCGAACTCACAGCCCTGAGCCCCACCAAAATACATATGTTAAATCCCGCGCGGTCAGACCGCCGAACTCTTGCCCTGAACCCACACCGTCTCAAGCCCGATCAAGTGTGGCCTAAACCCTAAACTAAACCCTACCCCTAAACCCTAAACCCTGACCCCTAACCCTAAACCCTAAACCCTAAACGCTAAACCCTAAACTCGAAGCCCGAACCCTAAAACCGTAAAGCCCTAAAGCCCTAAACCCTAAACCGGTGCTGCTTTAGCCTGATCTCAGACCCCAGTCGAAGACCCATTTTGCCACCGAGGTGCAGGTGCAAGTCCGGAAACGCTCACTTGTCCTGCCCCTTATGCAGGTGCCAGGGCTGCTAGGAGAGAAGATCTCGGTTTAGGGTTTAGGGTTTAGGGTTTAGGGATCTATTCATCAGTTTTTGGCTAGCTTTCTATCTTTCTATCTGTCTCATTGTGTATCTACCTAGCTACCTATCCATCTATCCATCTATCCATTCATCTATCCATCTATCCATCTATCCATCTATCTATTTATCTCTCCATCCATCCATCCGTCTATCTATCGGTGTTTTCCGGCATCCGTTAATTTGCCTCACACCCTAACCCTACTCAGTACACTGTTTCTTCTTGGAAGGCTCTGCGCTGGCAGTTTTGCAGCAAGACAGCTTAAACCCTAAACCCTAGCCTAAACCCTAAACCCCAAACCCTAAACCCTAAACCCTAAACCCTAAACCCTAGCCCTAAAGCCGGTAGAGGGTTTGGGGTTTAGGCTTTAGGTTTTAGCATGTGGTTGCAGGGTTAACATAGGGGTCGGATGTTTTGGCAGTTGTTCCTTAGGCCTTATGATTTATGATAGTTATGTGATAACCGGGTATCCCCAACCTAGCTTCGAAGCTGGCAAAAATTGCCAGTGACTCCTCAAGGCTCCTTGTGACAGTGTTTAGGGTTTAGGCAACAAAGTTCCGCCAGGTGCAAGAATTTCTTGCGTCTCTGACACGAGCAACCGAAATCCCGCGGAACCAGAACCCTAAACCCTAAAACCCTAAAACCCTAAAACCCAAAACCCTAAAACCCTAAAGCCCTAAGCGCTAAACCCTAAATCCTTAACCCTGAAACCCTGGAGCCCTAAGCCAGGCGAACCTACGGCGTAGAGGTCCTCAGCCCTTTGGACGAGACCTCGCGCGGAATCTGTGTGGAAAGGCGATCGGATAGTGGGATTTAAGGGCTTCCTGAGGCTTAGGGTTTGGGGTTTATAGGGTTTAGGGTCTGGGTTTAGAGGGTTTAGGATTTAGGGTTTATCGGGTTTAGGGCTTATAGGGTTTAGGGTTTAAAGGGTTCTTAATTTTTTTCGGGTTCTTATTATTTAATAGTAATCTGAAAGTTTAACCTGTTATTTCCCTGGCTTATTAGGGAACTAAGTTTAGGGTTTAGGGCTTTAAGGTTCGATTCAGGGCTGAGAAGTGCTTCTCTGAAGGTTTAGGATTCTACACGGGTCGAAGAACGGTTTTGCAATGGGGTTCTAAGGGTTGTAATACAGGGGCTTTAATAATTACCTACACCATTTGGGTGGTTCCTTATCATAACTATACTATCAAGGGCCCCAAAACCCTATTTTAACTATTGCGGCCCCTGTAGTATACGAGGATTTGGTTTTTAGGGTTTCGAAGCTTACGGTGTGCGGATTAGAGTCTGGAGGTTTTTGGGTTTACTAAGCCGAGTTCTCTCAAGGTTGGATAAGTCTGGGTTGCAAGGTTTCTTCTTGTTTTATAGAGACTTTCCAACGATTCTCAAGGGGTTCTATAAGTGTTCTTTTAGGGCTTGCAAAGGTCTTCTGCGGATTTATGCAAGGGAGCCGGCAAACCCTCCGCAAACTCTGGACCCTCGGGTTTAGCGTCACAAACTGTAAACCCTGAAACACAACAGTCCTGACTGAACCACCCTCAACCCTAAAACCCTAAACCCTAAACCCTAAACCCTAAACCCCTAACCCCCAAACCCTAAACCCTAAACCCCCATAAAGCCCTTAACGCCTTTAGCGGCACAACGCACTATGCCCGAACGCCCGAAGCCCCTCGAACTTATCCTTGAATCCTTAGTGTAGAGCTCTTAGAGAGCTTGTATAGAACACTCAAAGTCTTTAGGGTTTAGGGTTTAGG